CGGGGTTTATGATTCTTATCTCACGAAAGCCTTCGCTTGGGCAAACAGGCGCACATCGTCACCGGCCGATGGGCAAATAGCAGCATTTTTTTCTTAACGGCTCAAGCCAAGCGCTTCAGCGGAAAAGTGGCGGTTGCTGCATTTTCTTCAATCGCGAGCGAGCTGTATTTTTATTCAGATTTGACCTTCAGGGCGCCAAAAAACATACCGTGCAACTCTTTCGCAGCCTTTCCATTCCACACCCTACTGCCGAGCAACTGCAGCCCTTGCTTCTCGAGTGCTTGTGTAAGGGTTTTGTCTTAATGAGCTCAAGCACTCAAGCAAGCCTCCAACATCATGGCTTTCACGAAAGCCTCTTGCGCTTGCGGCTTTCCAAGGCATCGACAGAAAGAACAAGAGACCTTGCCACCAGCTCACGTGCCGTCAGCCTCGCTTTTGGGACATGGTGGGCCTCCTGTATGCAGTTCGACGGTGTCAGAAAGACGGGGGAAAGTGAAACCTGCGAGCTCAAGCACTCAAGCAGGCCTCCTACACCATGGCTTTCACGAAAGCCTTTTGCGCTTGCGGCTTTCCAAGGCATCGACAGAAAGCACAAGAGACCTTGCCAGCAGCTCACGTGCCGTCAGCCTCGTTTTGGGACATGGTGGGCCTCCTGTATGCAGTTCGACGGTGTCAGAAAAACGGGGGAAAGTGAAACCTGCGGACCTCGTTGGCGTCAGACTCGTGTGTATTCTTTCATTTCCGCATCCGTGGGTCCAGGTACCGCAATCGAGACCCTAGCAGTAGCAGAGATCATCAATTAAAACATTATTCCAGCGACCATTCTTCTGGTCGCAGGACTACAAGGTTGCAGGGCTAAAGTAGCGAGGTTGACGCCTGCTGTAGGAAATGGTGTGTCAGGCTGAAAAAGTTGTACAGGTCTCAGCGATCTGTTCAGCAGCATGCTCTTCTCCTTCCCGGCTGCCAGGAAGGTCACGACGAATTCCAGTAGCCGGCTTTCAGCGGAAGGGTATCGGGAGGCTTGCGTCCCAGTCGCGACTGTGCAGTCAAGAGGCCGCAGAGTCGGGACGCTTTCTCACCTGGCCAGCCCAGCCGTCCACACACTACTGCTATCTACTGCTTCAGGTCTTTAATCGCTCGAAAGTGCAACGGGTTCACGTACGACACAGTAAGCGCCTGCAACGTGATGCTTGGGTCATCCGGCTGTTAATCACGTGCAAGCGATCATGTGGCCAAGACTCGCTCAGAGTCCCATGGGTTCTTGCGGTAACTGTATAAAGGGAATAACGTGCTGGACCCCCTTGGGGCCACGCCTTTTCGAGCGAAATCACGTTCTCTGCCACGGTTGCGGCCCGGATTGTAAACTCCAACGTTTACTTTGGCAAAGAAGCCGTAGTCGGTTCCTCGGGCTCGTTGTCGTGATCTCGCCTTTCCCGCCTTCCTGCCGCCGTCCCATGCTTGTTTTGAGTTCTGCCTCCCAAAACCATGTTCACGCCAACGCCGCCTCCCCTTACTCCCACCACAGTGCGTTGCGCATTTCGGGCCCATGGGGTAGTCTGGACAGTGATCCTTCGGCATGTACGGCTTGGATTGCTACAAGTAGCTGCTCTTTTACGATGGTCTACTTCGGGTCTCAGAAAGCCCGAAAGGCAGAAAACCGAATATGCAAGTCTCACGATACCTCGAACGAGCTACTTGTTGAGGGACAAGTTGTGGCTCCAATGAATGGGCCAAGGAGTTGTTGACAGGAGTAGCGTACGTGGTTTCGCATCGAGACACGCAGTTGACTGCATCATTCGGTTACGAGTCTCGGACAGTGTCAAGAAATTGACGCCACTACGTTTGGCTGCGGCAGTCCGCCCACTCTCCACCTGTGAAGGTGCCTTCAACATCATGCCGCCGCTGTATTGCAAGCACTCTTAAGCTCGGCATGACGGAGGAGCTCGACAAATTTCTTTTTGCGAAGGCGATTGCCCCCGACAAAAATGCAAAACAAGCTCGCCACGCCTCGCGTGAGCTTTCACGTGCTATCAACTTTGACGGCTACGTTTTACAACCGGCTAGCTCTCTTTCTGAACACTTGCGCCTGATCTCGTTCTGCTTTCCGCTAGCCGACGGGCCGGACAGAATACACGATTCGCGATCACAGCCGGTGGAGATCAACTCAGGGATTCGGCTCGTTCTCGGCTGACTGCTCCAACCAGGTTCACTTCCCGAAAGACTGACACAGACACTCCTGTACTGAATGCGAGTTCATGGTCATCAACTCAACATGTTACAACTGCGGATCACATGTAGGACAAGTTTCTGATTTCTATCCGGAAGTGTGAGTTAATCGCTCCTTGGAAAAGCTCTCTTGGAAGTTTGCTAGTGAAGCCAAACCTCAGCCCTGCATGTCGCTCTGCTTGCCTCCGATGTGAACCTTCTTGAACATGATCAGTGCTGCGACCTGCATCGCAGAACAACACATTTAAGTCAAGCTGACAGAGAATGTGTCACTGTAAGGCCTGTCACAAGCAGTATTTCCAGAATCTGTGCTAGCAACCGTACTGACAAAGGTGTGGGTCATTGCTGCATTTTCTTGGGAGGGACTTTACGCTTGCACGGTCACTGCTGCACCATAAAATTCTCTACCTATGATTCGAGACATTTATGTGCATGTGTATGTAGGTATGTATATATATATATATATGGACAGACACACTGTGCCACACCTGCTGACAGGAAACATGTGACTGTCCATATGCAGAACGTCCCAAACATATGCAGAACGTCCCAAACTTACCCACATGCAATTTCCGTTCTGCACAGGGCACGGCTAATCTTCGCGGACGTGACACGGTATATCACAGTATCGTTTCTGACTGGGCAGCTGTATTGGCTCGGATAGCTGCCGGAAGCTCGAAACCCCTTGAAGCAAAAGTAACGACAAACAAGCTCGACCAGACTTCACGCCTCGAACACGAAGCATGCCGCAGTATGCTTCTCCATTCGAGCATCCACGCGGGTCAATCTAACTTTGCTGGGTCTGTGTTGTTTCAAAGGCTCCGAGATTCAGTGTTGGAGGGGGGTTGCTGGAGTTTTCAATTTTGTTTTGTAGAGGGTTCGGGGCATTGGGAAAATCCTGACGTCTGATAACGGGGTTCCGCTGCTCCACGGGGCTATGGCGGTCAGAGCTGCGGGATAGCTGCCAAGGGTGACTCTGCGGATGGCACTCAAGAGTCTCAAGAGATGCTGCAGAATTGCAGGCATATTCCCAATTGCGAGACGGCTTCAAACCAGCAGAAAAGTCTGTGTATGTCGAGTCAAGACAGTTCAACCCCCGCTTCGTAGCGGCGCAGCATGCATGGACGTCATGCTGCCCCCGCTCGCGGCCAGCATTCGAGTTTCAGCACTTCGCAATGCCGAAATGATGACACACCTTCCGTGGCCGCGGCGTGCGCAACCAGCCAACAACAACAACACCAGAAGCAGCAGCAGCAGCAGCAGCGCAGCAGCAGCAGCAGCGCAGCAGCAGCAGCAGCAGCCGCAGCAGCAACAGCAACAGCAACAGCAACAGCAACAGCAACAGCAACAGCAACAACAACAACACTTTATTGGACGCTGCTCATAGCGGGCGAATTGCCATTGCCATAGCACCAGGCTGTGCAGAAATCAAAGCTTTGGAGAAAGGGTGCGAGAGCCAAAAAAAAAAACCGTTGCGGGCCGCTGTTTCGACCATGATTCTCATGGTCAAGCAAGGCATGGCACTGTTGAAGGATCAACACGGTGTCTTGCCTGAGTGAGAATGAATTGCATCAATATGAACCCACAGAAAGCCGCTTCTGTACATGGACTCAAGATGTCCAGTCCTTGTGCCATCGCCTGGAGGCTACTCTTCAAAGAAGAGTAGGATGTCAGCAAGACCGGGAGTGAAACTGCATCCGTCACCGTCAGTGTTAGCCAGCCCGATGCTCACGAACCAATGTCTGGTGGTTCGTACTCGAGAGAGCCGGGTCCCTGAGTCTAGCGGCGTCCCACATTTGATCACTCCCAGACTATGGCGATGGGCGCCGAGCTCAGCGAGCAAAGCAAGAACAGTCAGCTCGGTTGCTCCAGACAAGCATACGCATAGTGCAGGTGTCTGCACCAAGGGCATTGATGACCTAGAGACATGCCCAGCTCACTGTGCCTGCCTCTGCAAGAAGGTCAACTCGAGTCAACTCCCTCAACAGAGGACATCACTCGCCATGTCGAGGAAAGCATTCAGGACAGCTCCTTCGCCAGAATCATGTCCGCAGTGACTTCCTCGTCTCACTATGAAGGCGACTTGTCCGAGCAGGATGTTTTGGAGCTCATGCCGCGAGGCCTTGCTCTCTGGGATGATCGCGTGATCACTGCCCCATCGTGGCCGCCCTCATCCCCGCACCCTCTATGGCCTATCCTACGTACCTTCGACAGTAGCACTCTCCTGTAGGACCTACGGGAGGCTAGCACCGTTTGAGTAAAGCAACCACTGAGTACGCGACCATAACACTCTCTCTTCTTCATTCAGCCCAGGGAGAGGACGGACCCCCGCTCGTGCTCGCAAGCGCACTGGTTCGTCTGAGTCGGTGTGACAGTCTCTCTCTCCGTCTGTCTGTCTCTCTCTTTCTCTTTCTCTCTCTCTCTCGCCACTGTGTGTAAAGATGACAAACATGTAGGGCCAATCTTCCCTTGGGACGTTCGCGACTTTTCCAGCACTGCGCAGTCATCCGGGCTCTTTGTTTCAGAAGTCGGAGCATGGCTCAGCTCCTGTACGAGTGTGGAGAAATCCTAATTAAGGCCCGCGGACTGACATTCTGGACTGACATTCTTGTTTTGCTGTGCGCGTCTAGTTACAGTACAGGGCACTGGCCGTTCGAGCAATGGGCCGAAAATGCCGTAGCAGCTTTACCCGGTTTGATCGCCGGCTCGCTGAGCAACCAAAACGCAGCAAGCTAGGCTGAACCGACACCCCATGCAAGGCAAAGCACCCAGCGCTAGTTACCGAAGAAGTCGTCGATGTACGGAAAGGGCCGATCCTTAGTTTCGTCACGGGCTACGGGCTGAAACCGCTTCCAAACCTTGCTAACTACTGGGTCTTGGTCTATAGCGGTTGGTAACTGCAAAGGAAGGGCTGCAACTTACCCTCTTGCAACGAATCTGCAAGGCTGGAGCCCGAACTTGTTCAGGCCCTGCAGACTCGGTCAAGCACCAACAAAGCCTCTGTCATACAAGCACTTGCTTGCGATACCATGCTGAGAAAGTTGTGGTTCCAGGAATCGTCCACCGTTCTTTTTCTCTCCAGCCCCATGCGCAGGTGCATTGGCGCGTGGATCCGTAGGAGCGTGTGTGGGGTGTGCGGGTGGGCGTCTGGGTGCATGGGAGCCACTTCGGAAATGCGTCCGAACCATCATGCATTGCATCGGACTGCAGTTTCGCTGTAAGACTCAGTCTCAACTTGATGAAACCGCGACAAATGGTCTCATAAACAGAACTGCTGAAATCATTCTTTAAATGCTCGCTTCTGATTTCTGACTGTCTCTCATTAACCTTGTGTTCATGCCGTTCTGTTGCATCGATAATTGTCTTTGAGCCATGCCAAATTATCCTCTCCAACTCTATGGAAAGAGCAGAAGCGTCAGCCTCCCATCGGCAATACACCTCCTTGCTTCATTCCAGGCGACTGGAGGTCAAGCAACGTGGACTTACACCGAATGTTTTCGGCACTTCAGTGCTGTTCTTCAGGCCACTGCAAACAATCCTGTGAGACTGTGAGGTCTCAAGGGTCTCCTACGAAAAGAAAAATATCACACAGAGTGCCGAGAACGTTTGTCAGAACAAGCTACAACCGACGCTTTGACTTCGTCTTTGATACCAGGGTCAAAACAGACTCCAGCACCTCGTCAAGTGCAAATCCGACATCTTTTCTCGTGGAAGATATCGTGAGGGCAAACAGCGATGCACGAGATGCCCTCTATGACACCAATTGTCGAAGCGGACCAATACAATCAAAGCCAGAACAAGTTCCCTGTCTTCTTGTTCCCGCCATCACCCAAAGCCAACACCACAGTTGCAGTCGCACCTCCGGAGGAGAGTTTTTGTCTATTGGGCGATGAAGCGTCTGGTGTCTAAGGGCCATTACTTTTCGCAGTCAGTCTACCCTTCGCAAGATAAGCCGCAATACAACCAACCACACTATGCTGTACCACAGAACGAGGAGCCGCTGGAATTCTTCGAGCCGGTACTATCCTCCATAATCGTGCAGATGTCATTATATCATTATGTTGCCACATTGCCACCTTCCTTGCCAGAGCAAGCGCTCTTTTTGTACCTCTGGCGATTGCGGCTGTCCCTCGGAACGAAAACTTCGTCCTGAGAAAAAACAGTTCAAGGCGACGTTCGTCGGTGAGGGAACAGTTCCTGATTCCTGTCCGCAAGAGCACGGTGTATAGTGACCACAATGAAAAACAGATGATCGGACTGTTCGTTGACTTTTTTGAATGACCTCCGGGTGAATACACGAGTTACGGGTATAAACGAAACATGGACCACATGCTAGAACTCCTTTGAGTGGCATTTACCACGAGATGGAATCTCCGCGTGTGCGCATCTACACGTGTGCTCGTTTTTAGCGCGCCGTGTGTGCGTGTGTGTGTGTCCTGTGAGACTCGGTGACTAGGTAACGATTAGAAATGAGAAGAAGGTTGTACCAGCAGGGGGGCAGTGAGCCTTCTATCATCCACTGCCCAACGAAGACGGTGATAAAAAAAGCTGTGAAGCAATCTGGGACGCCAGATTGTGTACCTGCTCGTACAGACAGCCAGGCAAGTGATCGAGAGTGTGAGGTTCAGGGCTTCGCTTGTGTATGTCGCAAGTGATAAGGACACATGACTCGGACTGGAGATCTGCATAAGTGTGCTCCGGGCAGCATTCTTTTATCGCACTGTCTGCTCCGGGTGGCCCGGATGTAGTATGGTCATGGCAATCAATGACCGACATTGTTCCCTGATCGGAACACCCTGACCAAAGCCAGCTGTTTTCACCGTTTCAATCCGTACACGAACAGGACTCAGTCAGTAAAGCAGACGTTAACATGGCATCGTGTTTGTCATTGATCTCCATCCGAGAGTTGCAATTGCATTCATGGGTTTGTGGAATGAGTGACTATTTGTTCGCGTTGTTTAGCGATCTACGGCACCGCCTACGGTTGTAGTTCAGCCATGTGGAACTCGGATTCCAACTGACTTGTCGGGTATCATGGGGAACTAAAGGTTGACCTTTTGGGTTTATATAAGGGTTACATAGGGATATACTACCCGAAAA